TCGAGACCATCCTGGTCAACATGGTGAAACCCCATCTCTACTAAAAATACAAAAAATTAGCTGGGCATGGTGGCGCGTGCCTGTAATCCCAGCTACTCAGGAGGCTGAGGGAGAAGAATTGCCTGAACCCAGGAGGCGGAGGTTGCGGTGAGCCGAGATCGCGCCATTGCACTCCAGCCTGCGGAACAAGAGCGAAACTCCGTCTCAAAAAAAAAATAAATAAAAATAAAAAATAAAAAAAATAAAAATAAAAATAAAAAATAGAAGTTGATCACCATAAAATCCTTGCTTAACCTATTTTTGTGAACTCCATTTATTTATTTATTTATTTATTATTTTTGAGACTGAATCTTGCTCTGTCATCCAGGCTGGAATGCAGTGGTGCAATCTCAAATCACTTCAACCTCCGCCTCCTGGTTTCAAGCGACTCTCCTGTCTCAGCCTCCTTAGTAGCTGGGATTACAGGTGCCCGCCACCATGCCTGGCTAATTTTTTTATTTTTAGTAGAGATGGGTTTCACCATCTTGGCCAGGCTGGTCTTGAACTCCCAGCCCCGTGATCTACCTGCGTCGGCCTCCCAAAGTGCTGGGATTACAGGCATAAGCCACCATGCCCAGTCCCTGAACTCCATTCTTACACCCATCACCTGAGTTAGGCCTACGCCAAGCACAGGTACTCAGCTCACTGCCAGACAACAGAAAGCAAGCAGGTTTCAGAGCTGCTCCACCTGCTGTCAGCTGTGGGACTTACATAACCACTTCATAAACCAGAATTTCTGTCCTTTAAAATGCCTGGCCCTTTTGATGCCATAGCAGTATACACTACCAAATCCAGGCCTTATATTGACCTATGTTCTTTTTTTGTTTCTTTGAGATGGAGTCTTGCTCTGTCGCACCCAGGCTGGAGTGCTGTGGCACTCAGCTCATCACAACCTCCGCCTTCTGGGTTCAAGTGATTCTCCTGCCTTAGCCTCCCAAGTAGCTCACAGGTGCCCACCACCATGCCCGACTAATTTTTTGTATTTTTTTAGCAGAGACGGGGGTTTCACCATGTTGGTCAGGCTGATCTCGAACTCCTGACCTCAGGTGATCTGCCCACCCTGGCCTGCCAAAATGCTGGGATTACAGGTGTAAGCCACCGCACCCGGCTGTATTGATGTGGTTTTTTTTTTTTTTTTTTTTGAGACATAGTCTTGCTGTCACCAGGCTGGAGTGCAGTGGCGCAATCTCGGCTCACTGCAACCTCTGCCTCCTGGGCTCAAGCAGTTCTTCTGGTGCAGCCTCCTGAGTAGCTGGGAACACAGGTGCATGTAACCACGCCCGGCTAATTTTTGTATTTTTAGTAGACACAGGGTTTCACCATGTTGGCCAGGATGGTCTCAATCTCTTGACCTCGTGATCTGCCCACCTCAGCCTCCCAAAGTGCTGGGATTACAGGTGTGAGCCACCGTGCCCGGCCTAGTTTTTATTTTTTAAGACAGGGTCTTGCTCTGTCACCCAGGCTGGAGTGTCGTGGTGTGATCACGGCTTACTGCAGCACCTACTCACCAGGCCCAAGCAATCCTCCTACCTCAGCCTAACAAGTAGCTGGGACTACAGGTGTCTACCACCATGCCCAGCTAATTTTTTTTTTTTTTGTATAAACAGGTCTCCCTATGTCGTCCAGGCTGGCCATGAACTCCTGGGGTTCAAGCAGTTCTGTCTCAGCCTCCTGAAGTGCTGGGATTACAGGCGTGAGTCACCAAGCTGGGCCCCTAGCTCTCATTTTAAATGGCTGTGTAATGTGATGATGACAGCACCTACCTCAAGGTGTTGCTGTGAGGACTAAATGGGTATGTTCTCAGTTAACATTAGTGTGATTATCTTGTGAGGACAGAAGCTGGTTCCGCTTCTACCCCTTTCTATCCTGCTCATTGGTGGCTGGGTCCTCAGTGCCCCAAATAAAGCCTGTTATACAGAAGATGCTCAGGTACTTACTGTGTGAACCCCTGGGGACTACATGGAAAATCTCTCCTCTTGACTTCGCTAGAAGGTACTCTTTGTCTCTTAAGGCCATAGTATCCTGCCCCACTGATCTGCAGGAGTGGTCTTGTGCATGGGTGATCCTTTGCTACTGGCCTTGCTGCTCCAGTAAAAACATTCACTAGTGGGCTGGAAACGATGGCTCATGCTTGTAATCCCAGCACTTTGGGAAGATAGCATGAATTCAGGAGTTCAAGACCAGTCTGGACAACACGGCAAGACCCTGTCTCTACAAAAAAATACCAAAATTAGGTGAGTGTGGTGGCATACACTGGTCCCAGCTACTCAGAAGGCTGAAGCGGAATGATCACTTGAGTCCAAAAGTGGAGGCCGCAGAGAGCAGAGATCATGCCACTGTACTCCAGTCTGTGTGATAGAGTGAGACTATCAAAACAAAACAAAAAACACTCACTAGTGACCAATTCCTTCTGTGTCCACCATGGACTGGAGCCTCCTGGAAGGTAAAGCACAAGCATCACTTGCATACTACTGCATGTCCAGGTGCCAAGCATGGGGGTTGGCACACCTGAGGTCCACAGGAAGAGCTGTGGAGTTCAGACTGGCAATGTATGAGGCCTCTTCTGGCCACAGATACCCTGTGCATGCTGCTGACAGTTATTGAGCCTCCACTTTACCCTCGAGCTACCTAACATTGACATTGCTGCCACTCCTGACACCACAAATGTGGTCCCCTTAATCAATCCAAACCCCATTTCCTGTCTTTCACTCTTGAGGTTATACTCCACACTTCAGTTTCTATCCCAAGTTGTCTCTTCATAAGCCTTAGGACTCCCATGAAGCGAGTTTGTCCTGCCATACTCCACAGCCCTACACTCCCATGTCTGCTTTAGAGAGGCCCAGAGATCTCAGAATGGGGGGTTTGGGACATTTATATCAGTACTCTACTACAACCCTGGGATCTGTTTGTGTTGGGGAATGATTCAGCCTGTACACAGGGAGGGAGACGAGAACTGAAAACTGCCAGGATTTTCTACTTCCATCCACTGGGATCGCTTACAGGTGCCCTCCCCACTGACAGCCAGAAAGGGAAAATAGAGATGAATTTGGCCAGTGGGGCCTCCACAGCCCTCTGGAAGGGGCTGACTGATAGGAAGGTACTCCGCTGGTGTTCACTGGCCAGACCCCTATGGGCTCAGAAGACTACCTAGACCCCATGAATAAAGACTCTAGACACATTTTTATAATCAGAAACTTAGTTTATTGTGAATAAACCACTCAACTTGAGCAGATGACATTGCCTCAATTAACTTTTTCTTTGAAGAAAAACAAAGAGATATGGTAAATTCATGAAAATACTGTGTCCCTTCTCTTCTGCCCTTTGTAGGGCAGAAAAATTCTGCCTGACCTTTCCCATCTTCCTGATGATGTTAACAAACGACAGCCACTTACTTGGGGCACAGGAGGCGGCTCTACACAGGCCAAGAGCTACAGGCTACAGACTGAGCACAGAAAACCCTGCAGCTCCAGCATCCAGGGCCACAGCTGCACACAAGTGCAGAATCCAGTAGCCCTACAGCCCAGACAATGCCCAGGGTGTGATTCAGGGTGCAGAGCTGCAACTCAGATACTGTGCCACGGTGGTATCACAGGAAGGACTTGATGGAGAAGTAAAGGCTCCAGACGCCAGGATATTTATTCCTTGTGCCAACACAGCATTCATACCTGACCTCTAGGTCCTGCAGCAGGTCCTCTCCTCATTCACAGCCCCCCACTGTTCCATTCTGGGTTCATTTGCTATACTCCTAATTTGTTCTCCCAATCCACCCCACAGTCCTTTCCTTGCTGGGAACACAGGAAGAGACAAAACCTGATGAGGGAGAAAGGGAACCTCCAACTAGCCATGGACCTCATGATTCCAAGAATTACAGCTATCATTTGTCTTCAAGAATGGCTCTGTTTTATAGCTCACATGGTAACTGGGAAATTGCTGACTTGCAGGTGAAATGTATAAATATCAAAGAATTTCTATCACAATATTCACAGATCTCTGTATTAGCTCTCCCTGGAGGTCAGGCAGGCCTGGTACAGTACAGACTGCTCTGCCTGGCCTAGAGTGGAAGCACTGAACAAAGCCACAAAAACCTCAGAGATCACAGATCTAACTTTTCAAAGGCCCCCCAGTACCAGATTCAGGATAGGTAGGACACCAGGCAAACTACCTGCTCCCTTGCACTTCACTGTGCAAAAGCTGGTCTGTTCCTCTGACCAGACCTTCCTAGTACAGGATCTGGGACCACAAACCAAGGAGTCCCGTGGCCTTGGACTCCCAGACCCCAGGATGGATGGTATCCTCTGACAGCTGGAACCAGGCAAGGGGGAATACACCTCAGCCTCAGGGCAGCCTCTGGGCACACTCTAGGTAACATGAAAATAACTTGTGCAAACCTGGCCCCCATGTCAGGAAGGCCAGTGCCCTAAGGAAGGTTATGCTGAATTCTGACCTTGATGTTTGCCAGAGGAGAATGCAGCAAGACAGTGTGAGGTATGGCCAAGTATGAACCTGCTCAGAGCTATACCACTTGAATACTGGCAAAAAAGAAAGAACCAAGGTAAAGCAAATTTATTTGGGAGGAACAATTCCCTTCAAAAGTAGATCCCTATCTTTAGGAGACAAAAGGAAAACACTGTGCTGGACCTATGTCCCCTAGTTTGGAGGGCCACCGGCCCACCTCCATTCTGCTGTGGGCTCTAGCCCCAGTAGCCAGATCCCGCTAAACCTCAGTTTCAAGAATAAATGTGAGCCACAGACATGCAGCACCACCAGAGACAACAACACCACATGGCAAGAAGACTGTGTTCTGGACCGTCTCCATACTGCCACAGTAAGGCAGAAGACATGCTGTGACTCCTTGTGCTCTGTGCCCATTGCACAGGCCAGTTCAATTCCCTACCATCTGCCACCCATGCTCTTCCCTTGGGACTCCAACTCCAGCCAAACAAATGTGAATATGGAAAGCAGAGGCCCAGGGCCCTCTTGTAGTACAGACATTTTGAGGTGGATAGGCCACATATGTTACATTCTAAGTAAAACAGCTAGAGGGTAAAACACTCCAACGCCAATTTATTTTCAAAAAGGGCTCTGTGTTATCCTATAGAGTTTGCCTTTTTTTTTTTCTTTGTATAATTGTACAACCTTTGAAAGTTACATAAGTTGTAATGATCTAATACTAATAATAGCCATTCAGAAAACACTTTCCCTCCCTCCCAACAACCATCCAGGGGGAAATAAAAGTCCTGAAAAGAGGCCAGTTCAACATGGCCTCTACCCTGGTAGAAACAAAAAGTGAAAAGAGAAAAAAAACAGAAATCAACTAAGAGGTGTTGCCAGTGTCTCTCAGAAGTGGGGCCCTGGCTGTCGCCTGGGGTCATGAAAGGCAGAGCCTACAGCATGCAGTACAGCAGCTGGGAGACCTTGCAGCCACATCTTCCTCACCCCAGCACATCCACATCCCAACTTAGGTGTCATGGAAATCCTTCAGCAGGGTTCTCCTCCGCTGCTCTGCTATATGCATCTGGTTCTCCAAGTCCTGCATCACAGAAACAAGGTGTCGCTTGCATGGCCCAGGCCTGGGAGCAAGAAGTAGACAAAGCCGCAAACACCCTCCAGGGCCTCTAAGGAGTCAAAAGCGCTGCCCTTCCCATTCTTAGTAGAAGCTTCCAGTGCACAAACCAACAACCCTGTCACCTATTAGCATGCCAGTCCTTCTTTACCTGCAATATAGAATCCAAGAAGACAGTAGGCACTTACCCCTCTGTCATAGCTGTCCGCCCGTTCCACTTTCCATGAGAGGTTTTCAATCTCAGCCTCCAGCTGAGCCTGCTGGTATTCAAACTGCATAGGCAGAGCAGGAGGGTCAAAAGGTCAGTGGGCTATGGGTAGGGCAGGGCCTATAGATGGGGGTGGGGGAGGCGGGACACACGTAGCACCTCAGGCTCACAGGAACTACAGACAATCCTGATAGTGTCCTCAAAAAGTGCTGTTATTCCATGTTCCCAGAGCCAGAATCGAAAAAAAAGGCTATCCAAACAGCAAGGCCACACTCACCCTTCACCTGCAAAAGGTCAACTCTATCCTCCACACTTCCAAAGGAAGGGGAAAAATTTAAGCCACTAAAGAGAATGCTCCCAATATGAAAGGGAACGGATGCTGTAAAAAATAAGTCAAACGAATATTCTCAGATACTATCATTTCATTTTTTTTCCTTCTGCAAATCAAGAGCCTTAAAAATATTCAAATTTAATTACTGATTTAGTAATTATATATCTAAGAAGATACAGCTTTATGCACAAAAACGTTTCTGAATGTCCTATTTACAGCAAAAAAAAAAAGAATAAATGTCCCAAGTGATGGTACAACCAAGTAATAGCACATTTATGTAACCATTAACAAAATGGTATTTACCAGACAGGTAAATCATGACAGCTATAACAATAAATTGTTACAAAAATAAAATGTTGCTGGGCACGGTGGCTCATGCCTGTGATACCAGCACTTTGGGAGGCTGAGGCGGGAGGATCACGAGGTCAGGAGTTCAAGACCAGCCTGACCAACTGAAAGTCTGTCTCTACTAAAAATAAAAAATAAAAAATTAGTGGGGTGTGGTGGTGCATGCCTGTAATCCCAGATACTCGGGAGGCTGAGGCAGGAGAATCACTTGAACCCAGGAAGCAGAGGTTGCGGTGAGCCAAAATCACATCATTGCACTCCAGCCTGAGCAACAAGAGTGAAACTCTGTCTTAAAAAAAAAAAAAAAAAAAAAAAAAAAAAAGTTTTACATAACCTTGATTATATACACAGTATTTTTTAATTTTTTTTTAAGAAACAGGGTCTCGCTATGTTGCCCAGGCTGTAGTGCAGTGGCTATTCACAGGCATGATCCCACTACTGATCAGCACAGGAGTTTTGACCTGCTCCTGTTCCGACCTGGGCCGGTTCACCCCTCCTTAGGCAACCTGGTGGTCCCCCGCTCCCAGGAGGTCACCATATTTATGCCGAACTTGGTGCAGACAACCGATCGGCATAGCGCACTACAGCCCAGAACTCCTGGACTCAAGAGGTCCTCCAGCCTCAGCCTCCCGAGTAGCTGGGACTACAGACACGCGCCACCACGCCTGGCACACAATATTAATTTTAAACGGCTGGAAAATGTTGACAGTGGTAACTTTTTTCTGGACAATGTAAATGCTTCTCTGTTTTCTAAGATTTAAACAAAAATGTGAATTACTAGTTTATTAACATTTATTATTGTTAATAACAATAAATTCATATCCAAATTCAACTCTAAGATGAAGAATTAAACAAGGTATAAAACAAACAGTCAAATATATCTTAAGGATATGCACTAAATATCCCTCCCAAGCATGGGCACTGGCCTCCCACATGACCAGAGACCTTTTTAGCCAATCGCCCTTTAAATATAGTTGTTCAGAGGATTAGGTACATGTGCCTTATATTATGCAAAACAACAGTACCTTAGATCTAGTTTGGAAGTGCCCAAAGTAGAAGTGGAATTTTGCAATTAAACAGTATTGTTTTAAATTTGCCTTCCTAATGACCAGGGTCTGGTCTTCACTGTCCTGCAAAGTGCTGGTAAAGAAGGGCACCTTTAAGGCTAATAGGACAGAGGAGAAAAATTGCTTTGCCTTACCAGCTTCTTCCTGGGTCCAGACTCCATGTAATATGCATACGGGTAAGTGTATTGCAGGGTGTATCGACACTGCAACAGGAGAGAAGAGAAGGGACCTGTGTCCGTGGTTCTAAGCTACCTGCATCTCAGGTGGCTCTTACAATTCCTACCCCTAGCATGCAAATTAGCCTAGCTCTATAGGTATGGGCCTGAAAGAAATGATACTAAGCCAAATAGAGGATGAACTGGGAAAATACATGGGGAAAAAACAAAAACAATGGTCACAGAACAGCCAGACTTTCTTTTACAAACTAATTACCAGCAGCTGCCTCAATCAGAGTCCACACATCTGTCTCAATGCTTACCCAAAGGCAATCTCTTCTCTTTTTTTTTTTTTTTTTTTAACGGCCTCGCTCTGTTGCACGGGCTGGAGTGCAATGGTGTAATCTCAGCTCACCACATCCTCCGCCTCCCAGGTTCAAGTGATTCTCCCATTTCAGTCTCCTAAGTAGCCTGGAGTAGCTGGGACTACAGGTGTGCATCACCACACCAGGCTAATTTTTGTATTTTTTTGTAGAGACAGTGTTTTATCATGTTGCCTAGGCTGGTCTCAAACTCCTGGGCTCAAGCAATTCACCTGCCTTGGCCTTCCAAAGTGCTGGGATCACAGGCACTGTGCCCAATCTTTTTTGTTTGAAACAGAGTCTTGCTCTGTTGCCCAGGCTGGAGTGTAATGGCATGATCTTGGCTCACTGCAGCCTCTGCCTCCCAGGTTCAAGGGATTCTCGTGCCTCAGCCTCCCAAGTAGCTGGGACTACAGGCATGTGTCACCACATCCAGCTAATTTTTGTATTTTTAGTAGAGATGGGATTTCACCATGTTGGCCAGGCTGGTCTCAAAGTCCTGACCTCAAGTGATCCACCCTAACCTCAACTGATCCACCCGCCTCAGCCTCCCAAAGTGCTGGGATTACAGGTGTCAGCCACCATGCCCAACCCTTCAGAGAATCTTTTATTTTCCTTTGGAGTGATGAATACACAGGACAAAGGAGAAGTAAAGGGCTCTAGTTTTCCCTGAAGGCAGAGGCAGTGCAACACTCTTAGAAATCCCTCGGACATCCAGCAGACAACTGGGTCCTTGATGGGCACAGCAAATGAAGATGTGGATCCACAAGCAGAAGCATGAAAGGCTGCACAGGGTGCTAAAATACCCTCTCCCAACAGGGCTTCCCACCTTCAGAGGTCTGTGCCTGATGGGGCCAGGCACTGGACCAGGGATAGGATGAGTGAAGTGGTAGATACCTTGGCCAAGAGCTTGGCAGCATTCTGTAGGTACTGCCAGTCGATCCATGTCCCCAGATTGTTCATGACCCTCTCCTGAATCTTCTCGTGAATCCGCTGGTATGTCTGTGCCTCTAGCTGCAAGCTTTTGTTGTGGTTTTCCCACTACAGGGCACAGAAGGAAGGAGAAAACCACAGGAGTCCCATGAAGGTGCAGAGGTCTACACAGGAGTTGAGGATAGACACCTTGCTGGCAAGACATGGCCACAGACTCCCCTAACTTATGAAGAATGAGTGCAGGAGCAGGTCTTCTTCAGCCATCCTTCTAACCTGTCCAGAGCAGCTGTATGCCTGCCAGATCACACTACCCTTCTGGGGCAATGGGACTCCAGCCCTGAGGACTATGCAAAGCTAGGCCCCTGATGGTCTACTGTGCTCTTTGGGCTTCTGAAGGGCTCCTTCAGAAAGGAGAAACAGCTTTCCAAACCTGTTTCTACTACTAAGATTACTAATCTGTTTCTAAATCTGACTACTAAGATGATACTATGGGAACAGATTGTGAGGACAAAAACAAAAAAATGAATAAAAATTTAAAATGTAGAAAAAAGAAAAAAAAAAATGGCACTAGATGGAAAAGACTGTCTGATGGCCCTTCACTGTCCTTCAACCAATCATTTGGCTGGGCGCAGTGGCTCACATCTGTAATCCCAGAACTTTGTGAAGCCAAGGTGGGCAGATCACAAGGTCAGGAGTTCAAGACCAGCTGGCCATTATGGCGAAACCCTGTCTCTGCTAAAAATTACAAAAATTAGCCAGGCATGGTGGCAGGCGCCTGTAGTTCTAGCTACTCAGGAGGCTGAGGCAGGAGAATCACTTGAACCTGGGGGGACGGAGGTTGCAGTGAGCCAAGATCATGCCACTGCACTCTGGCCTGGGCAACAGAGCGAGATTCCGTCTCAAAAAAAAAGAAAATAATAATTCATCATTCAACCAAGGTCAGTACCAGGTCCTTCCCTGTTGGCTGGGGATACCCTGTAGAGCTTGAAAGGCACATCTATACAGGCAGCACCCAGGGATACCGCAGGAGCTCCATTCACTGACTTCTATGTGTACAGGCTGGCTCTGGCTACCAGTCCATGGGAATCCCACCCCAACAGGCCAAGTGGAAGACGCCAACCCTGTTGGGGGAGGTACAGAAGAGGATACCTACCCTCTCAAAGTAGAATAAGTACTTCTTGAGGGCTTCCCTTGCCTGGGCTTGTTGGCTCTGGTTCACAATGTCAGGATTCTCCTTGTAACGACTGCACTCATAGTATTCACTGCCATGAGTCTTCCAA